AACTGATTTTGAACCATAGAAAAGAAGGTTTTAAGGGTTTGTAAAACTTTTGTTTTATGTCTAAGCAGTTGTGTCCAAGTACACCTACTAAAATCATCTACAATAGTGATGAAATAGTGTGTTTGTGACAGATTAGAATGACTGTAAGGACCCCATAAATCCACATGTATAAGCTGAAAAATAGCTGTAGTCTTTATAGAACTATCAGGAAAGGATAATCGTTATTGTTTAGCCAAAGGGCATACGTCACTGGAAACATCCTGTAAGGATTTACACTCAATCAAATGGTCTAAATATTTTAGTACAGGGAAAGACGGGTGGCCAAGACGGCTATGCCACTGTAATTTAAAGCCATATTCCCATCATTGCAAACTAAAGATTGAAATGAACTATGTATTGCAGCTCTAAGAAGTCTGGGAAAGTGCTCTTGAATGGAAAGCTTGATATGATGGGGATCAAATGAGTCTTTTGTGAGAGCATAAAGTCCTTTGTACACCAATCCAACACATATGACTTCATCAGTCATGAGGTCCTGCATGATGCACAATTCAGATGAGAAAGAAAAGTAAATTTTGGCTGTTTGAGCTAATTTCCTAATAGAGATAAGATTTTATTTGAAGGTAGAAACATATAAGGCTCCTTCTAAAGTGATTCTATGATTGATTTTAATATCACCAGAATGTTCCACATACTGTATAGAACCATCAGGAAGTTTAATAGGAGTAGGCAATTCAACAGGCTTAGAACTATTATTAAACCAAGATATAGAACGTGTCATATGTCCAGTGGCTCCACTATCAAAGAAACCAAGATCATTCCTTAAATCAGCACATGCAGACAAGTGAGAATAAGTGGTGCTACCTGCAAACTCATTCAGGTGAGCAAAGTTCACTTGATTGATCTGATCACTCTAAGCTGCTTTGCCTTTCATCAACTTGTTGAAATTTTGCTGAATCTGACTAATCTGCAAGGCCATGTTGTTCAAATCTGGTCCCTTCTCTGGCAATCCAAGTGGAGGTCCAAGTGGAGTTTCTTCCTCTGCCATGTGAGCATAGTTCTTATGGCTGTTAGTTGCCATTCTCTGCTCAAATTCCTTCCACCACTCTGGATAACCAGTTATCAGAAAACATCCCTCTTTAATATGGCCAGTCCTCTGACAGTGAGTGCAAAACATTTCTGCCTTCTTCTTCTTATTCAATAACCAGGCTGTATTGGTCCATTAAAGTTCCTTCTGTCTGATTGCATCTGAGGTTTTACAAGTAAACCTGTGCCTGCATTGTTATATCATGCATTGCTGCTGCCAACTCCATTATAGCCATTTCCTGGAAAACCTCCATATTGACCTTGACCATGCACCATGCTAACTCCAATTCCTGAGGAAGTGTTTCCCTTCCATTGCAATGCATTTGAGCCTGAATTAACAGCTCCATTGGTGACATATGATTTAGCTACAAAAGCACTGTTGTTAAAGTTCATCCCTCCTCCTAAACCAGGTTGCTTCTCCACTCTTAACACCATTGCATAAGCCTGATTAATAGTTGGAGGAGGATCAATCAGCAGAATTTGATCCTTAACAGCTTCATACGACTTGTTCAGTCCCATGAGAAATTCAATCAACCTGTCCTCTTGATCAGGAGCTTGCAGAATCCTTGCCACATCAGGTGTGCATACAGGCATTGGTCGATAATGCGTGTATTCATCCCATACTCTCTTCAACAAATTGTAGTACCTGACCAAAGAACTATCACCTTGCTGCACAACAATTCGTTCCTTTCTCATGTTATACAACTTAGTGCAGTTAGTAGTTCCATATTGCTCAGCCAAATCTTCCCATATTTGTTTAGCCGACATAGCATACAATAGCTATGAGCAATTTCTCTAGAAATTAATGCCATAATCCATGATTTAACAGTGGAATCAACTTGTTTCCACCTCACACGTCGTAGTGAATCAACAGGAGGTTTAGGAAGCATTCCATCAATAAATGCAACTGTCATCTTCAATTCTAAAGCTGTACGCATAGATCTACTCCATACAAGATAATTGTGCTCATCTAAAGGAACATAACCGAGTACCAGATCTGGATGCTCTGAGGAATGCACATTGAGAGTTGCTTTGCGAATCCTCTGTTCTTCAGCCGCAGCTATGACGGAAAAAACTCGAAATCCACCATTTCTCACTAGCAAGAAGTAAATTGAATCGGTAGAAATTAATCGGTAGTATAGATAAGGTAATGTATGGTAGCAATTCAAGATCAAGAGCCTTATGGCTCTGATACCATGAAAAGTTTGCTAGGGTTTGCCATGGAAAAAGTTACGAGAAGCAGATAGAGAGAATCTATTTTGGTATTTGGAATTTCAGTTGTATTAATCACGGTTAATTACATCTCTAATGATTACTGTACGTATTTATAGACAAAGTCTAACCCTAACTGCTATTAACAAACTAACTACCGTAATTACAGTTCATTTACAGCTGTATATATTTGACCTATATACAAAATAGACATTGACTTTATTTACTCCAACTGCAAGACTTGAGACATGATCACATCCTGTCAACGTCAACTTCTTGTGGATGAATTTCTTCCTCTAACCTTGGATCATCATCATCAAATTTCAATTGTTGAAGCTGTGACTTCAATTCGTAGATGGTGTCGATAGGGAAGGAAGAAAATTAAGCTGAGAATAAACGACATTAATACCTGCTGCAAGTAGATTTTCTTATAATTTCTTTGTAGAGATGAGAGATCATTGATGCACAAGAGTCTTTGGAGTTGTATTGGTGACGAGTCCAAACTGAACCCTAGGCCTATTGGGCCTAAGATTAGGTTACTTGGAGATTAAGCCACCGCATAGACGTATTCCCCTAGGATTTCAGGAAACAGGTAACACCACCTCTATATAAAGAGGTGGTGCCTCTCCCATAATTGATATCTTCTACCTATTTTCTACACCTTCTACACACGATACACATCCCTCTCTCTCTATTATCTCTACTCCTTTATTAACTTAAGCATCGGAGAGTCTACCCTCGGGAGACACCCGAGGCTTTATCTTGCAGGTTTTAAGCCATTCGTCGCCGCCTAGGTCATCATCGCTGCCCGTCCTAAGCACCGTATAAATACATGCTTCGTCAAGTGGCACGCCCAGTGGGACCGATTTGTTTGGTCTTCACAGCCAAATAAATTTTTTCGCGAAGCACGGAATCTTTTGTATCTTTCGCAGCCACGATTTTCATAACCAAATAAATTCGTTACTCCGATTTTGCAACAAGAAGATCACGTAAAAAAATTATCTTTGTTTGGCCAAGAAGACGTCAGCCGACAAGTAGCACAAAGAAACTTTCGATTGCACAAATAATCGAGGAGATGCACTTGCTCCACAGCTGATCGAGAAGAACAATTAGGAAGGGCAATCTCAAAGATGGGAGTTTCAAGAGATATATCTCGTCGAAGGGGCAACAATCCCTAGAGCACCATATTACTACACGAAGTGTTCGAGAAGATACATCTCCTCGAAGGGGCAAGCATCCCTCAAGCACCTTACTACTACTCGAAGTGTTCGAGAAGATGTATCTCAACTTTCATCTACTCAAATAATACCTTCTCGGAATCGAGGTAACACCTTCTCGAGTAATAAATTTAACTCAAAGCCAAGGTACTTCTCAAACTTTTTTTAATATATTTCTCGAATCTAATCAATCTACTACTGATATCATTATCATATTACTACCATGTCACGATATCTTTTTGAGCACGATTAAAGGAGTTCTTCAAATTACCAACTCTCTCGCGGTAAAACCCTATCACCCTTCAATGAGGACAACATACTCTGGGGCACAAACGGGGACATACCCTTAGGGCAAGGAATTTGAGGGATCATATGTCATTATTATCTTGTATGGACTTACCTTTACGCCTCTTGTTGTTGGATCTCATGGAGCCTCTCTTGTCATAAATCCATGCATGATTGGAGCATCCTTTGGGTTGCGAAGAAGCTACCGTTTGCTTAACTTTATCACCACCAAAATCGATATGTTGAACTTGGCTTTTCTTACCACCAATCCCCTTTTTTTGCGACGCTCTCTACTTCTAACAACTTGATCTTGTCCACATTAGCCCGTTCCTCATCTTGTGTCTTCAAACGGTCTTGATCTAGTTGCTCAAGAGAAATAGGATCGGCCGATTCTATTTCTCTTGAGCAACTAGATCAAGACCGTTTGAAGACATTCTGGATTAATCAGCCCTTTATTAGTCAGTAATAACATTCTGGATTGCTGATCCCGTTTATGAATTCTTTGGAACCCATCGCCACTCTGACCGACATCACAATAACTTGTACTTACACAAATCTGTTTCCTGTCAACCAGCCATTTTTCTTGAACAGATTGCTCAGCTGCGGAATCACCAACCATGTAGGTCTGTCTAGAGTCTACATACTGTTGGTGCTGCCCCAGTAAATGCTGGAACAAGCAACAAGCAATCATGCGCTGAGAATGTCAGACACCGTTTCTGCTCTATCGACACTCGTAACTGAATCTGCATTGATGGTATTAGCACATAAATCGGCGAAAGTGATTCTTGCAACTGATCTTGCTCTGATTGAGACAAACTCTGAAAAGATCTAGTTGGCACCACTTGCTGATCAAACTCGTTGTTTGCGCCATCTGTCTCTGAAACTGTAATATTTGCCCTTGGAACTCTTTCAATGGTACTGTCTTGTGATCAAACAACATTACCCACTAATTAAACACCGTTGACTGTTGCTAAAATTGATGGGATTGCATCACTTGTTGCTGACCATGCTGATCTTGTTATGATGATGACTGCAACTCCTTAGCCTGTATTTGCTCCATCAGCAATTAGCTTTCTATTAGCCCCGCTATAAAATGAACTTCATGATTCGACGATAGCTCTTGGAGCTTCTGTAATTGCTCTATCAGCACCGATAGCTGGTTTTGTGCCGTCAATAGTAAATTAGAACCCTTGAGATTCGGCAATGGCAATTCCACTAATCCTTGCAATTCTGTCGTTTCTTGTTAAAGCTGTTGATCTAACAATCATTGAATCGGCTGATAATGTACTAAGAATGACTGGTTTCTCACTACTGATTGTTGCACTTGCTGACATTGTAACGACGACTGCTGCAATTTTATCATTGATTGCTCAACTTGTCGAGACACTCTTGATGACGATTGCAACTCTTCAAGTGACATCTGTAATCGCCGCATCCATTCAGACTCTACCAATAATAGTTGTTGCATTGGCTGGATTTGTGTCACCGATTGTTGCTTTTGTTGAGATTGTACCAGTGGTTGTTGGATCGGTGCTACAGATGGACCAATTTGCACTAGAGATGGCTGAATCTGCTGAAGTCGCACCAATGACTGTTGTGACTGCAACAACGCCTGTAATGGTATCTCAATTCAACTACATTGCTATTACATCGGTCGATCGAGACTCCGCTAATAATGACTATGACTGCTTTATAGATGAAGACCATGTTGGTGATGACGCTGTGGACTCTATCCATTGCAGAAGTTGGCATTGCGTTTACGACCGGACTGACTGTGAAATCTCATGAATCGATTGAGACTCCATCGGTAATGAATAGAATGGTTGAATCTCTCCTCATGATTGCTGTTGAACTAATTCTAGAGGCTGTGTCAGGTGGTGGAACTGTAATGGCATAATCGATTGATCAGTCTGCTGGGGCTGCTTCGGTTGTGACCAAATCCATCGGATCAGTCCGGATGGCAACTGAATATCCTGATACTCCATCGGCAATGAATATGACTGGTGGACATGTGCTGGTGCAGATGCTATTTGCCGATGTTGTAACTACGTCTGTGGATCTGTTCCGTTGCTGAATCATTATTCTGATGCTGAATCGGTTGTAAGCGAACCTGCTGGACCAGTGTCGATGACCGCTGGGACTCCGTCGATTCCAACTGCACAGATTCTGTTGTCCATCGATCGGCTTGCTGAAACTCTACTGGCCATATACAGGACTGCTGGATATGCATCGGTGATAGCTGACTCTGCTGTGACTGCAACGGCAGCTACTGAAAGGTCACAATCGGTTGCTAAAACTATTGACTCCTGATCATAAGCCATAGATTGTTGTCCACCATCTTTGAATAGAACATGTGCCTTGATCTAACCACCATCAAGCCTATCATGGCAACCGTATTGATGCAGTTGATTGCCAAAAATGGCTTGCCCCCCGAGACTTGAAATTTCCTGCATTGTTGGCCTTTGATCTCGTTCATCAGCATTGTTGGATTGCCAATCTATGCCATACTAATCATCTGATTGGGTAAAATGGCATACAGCTCTGTAATCGGTTGCTTGGGAGTTGTAATTGGCATAGGCATTCAGAATTGGTGCACTAACCAGATGTGCATTACTTTGATTATCAGCACTACTTTGGTACCATCTATAACCATGGCACTCTATCTGTTTCTCTAGTTGTTGATCTGCGGCATATATAACCCTAGAGCAAGGTTGTGCCAATTCCAGCTGTTGGAAAATCTGCCGACCAAGTGATGATGGGTTATGTTGGATCTGGGGCGATGAGGATTGAGGTTGTTGAAAGATCTGCCCACCAAGTGGTGATGAGCTATATTGGATGTAGGGTTGCGTGTATAGATTTGTTTCAGATATCTGCCCACCAAGTGGTGATGAGCCATATTGGATGTTGGAAGATGTGTATATAAGGCTAGAATTTTCAGGCGACTGATTACATGGAACAAGGGTATAGATCGGACCTCCAGAAGTGTCAAAGGCATAATATTGGGTGTTTAGATACGCCAGGACAAGGGAAAAGGAAAAGACTCTCTTTTGGGTTTTTTAGGGTTTCTTATGACACAGAAAACCTCGTGGCATGATGACAGATTTCCATGATTTCTTTGTTATGGTTGTTATTCATCTCGATATATTGCTATTGTTCAAGAGTTTAACTTGAACCTACGGTTGATGGAACTTCACTTTCCTTTTCCCCTTTTAAGAGACTTCATTTTTATAGGTTGATGCTGGATAGATCGTTCATAAATGGAGTCAAAAATTTGCGTGAAGAAGGTATACTTTTTGACGACATGGTTTCTGTTTACGTGAAAATTGTGCACCCAAAATTGTGGGGGAAAAGGAGAACAGTAATCACCCAAAACACAATTAAATCAGACGATTATGGTTGAGTTTGATTCGGCCTCGGACCAGAATCGAGGACTTAGGGTTATTGGCTTTAGTTTGAGAAAGACAAGTGAAATTAGGAAAAGTGGGGAAAAGCCGAAGAAACAGCGTTTGACTCATAAAGTGAAAAATCCTAGCGCCGGCAATCTGTAGATGGTGCCGATGACACGCTGTTACATAGAAGACAGGGATAGGAAGGACGTACAGAGGGTAGTCCGACATACATAAGTGTTAGAACACCTATTACAGTATAACCGAATTCGTTGGATTAGAAAATGGTGAACACCTACCTAATTCTATGTAGGAGAAAAAGGCAAACAACTCTATTGCTAAGCTAGGGGCTAAGAAAACATGATAGAATGTGATGAACTACCATGGGGAAGGTAAAAACATGATAAACGGTAAAAGAAATAATAAAAGACAAGAAGAACCAGTTGTATGGTTGATCGGTGATAATTTTCTCTTCATGACTGCCTCTATTTATAGTGCTTGGAGGAAACCCTTACTGCCCTATGATTCCTTGGAGAAAATGTAGCTTAACATGGTCAATTTCCTTGAAAATAGGATACTATTCCTGCAGCAGTCTCCCAATCGGATGATGACTCTTCTCACAAATTGCTTTTAATTCGGTAATAGAATCCGTTTCCAAATATATCTCTTTAATTACTGGTAATTTCCCTTATAAAAAGGAGCAAAAAATCAGAAGGAATCTGCCTTAATTGCCAATTAATCATGCAGCCGATTCTGGAACAATTCTATTCCCACTTGGATTCTACTTTCCTTCTCCAATTCTGAAACTGTTCACACTCAACCAGCCTATATTGATCCCAAATGTATTTTGGCCCCTATTGAGCTATTTTAGAGCCTTAAAATCTCAGCCATAATCACATAAATTCACCAAAACTCATGGTCTATCACCAACATCACCCATCGGTCCGAATATCCAAAAACTGGCCGAACTGTTTCATCAGAAGAAGGCTGAGGAACTGAAGGAGATTGAAACCTGGACTTGGTTAGACAACTTAATATAGGTAAAATGTGTTCGATTTCGTTCCAACAGTCATAAATTTGCTTTGTTTCACTTTTTTTCATCCGAATTCAGGGAAATGCTTTATAAGTTTTTAACCCTTTCTGGTGTTCCCCTTATTTTTTTTCTACATCAAGTGTGTTCTACAAAGTTTTTATAAGCATAATTTGGATGCAGCATCCGAAACATCTGTAGATTGTATACTGGACGAATATAGCTATATTGTCCTCCAAAAGAGAAAAATGTTTGCAAATATTACAAGATTAATAGTTTCACTTACTATTGAGCTTCATTCCAATGCATAGAAAACATGAAAACCAGTTGTAAAGAGAAGATAATAGTTTCACATCCTTGAAGAAAGCACCAGAGAAATTATTGTTAGGCTGTATCTATTGTAGTAAATATGTATTTACCATAGTAATTGTGTATTAGGGTTTATCTTATGTATATATATACTGTGTACGTGTGTATGAATTAATCAATGAAGAAAGTTTTCTATATTCCTAACTTGGTACAGAGCTAGGTTTCTCTTCATTACTATTATTATTATTTTTTTCTCCTCTCTCCCGGCGGCGCCTCTCTTGCTCACAGCTGCCACTTTTCTTTTCTCTTCTTGCCGGCGTCTCTCTCTTCCCAGTGATCATTGATCCCGCTTCTTCTTCCTCCTCGGCAAATCACAACATCTGCACTCATCGTTGCTGGTTCTCGTTGGTCTTGCTGCAACTTTCTCATCAGCCGGCGGCCGCTTCCAATTTTCTTGGAGCTTCGTTTCTCCGCCGCTGACCGAATTCTTCTTCTTCACTGATTAACGCAGAGTTGCCCCCTCGGTGTGTCCTTTGGTTTCATGTTTTGCTGGTTCTTTGGTTGCCGGCTCTTCCCCATATTCTACTTGGGTGCTGGTTCGTGTTTTTGTCCCCGCCGCTACTCTGAAATTTTATTTTGGGACGAAAACTTGATGTTGCTTTGTTCCTCTCTATTGTTCCCATTTTTTTGTTGTTGTTTTTGGCTGCTGTTCGTGTGGTTTGCTGCTGCCTTCCTTCTTTGCTGCTACGGCTGTGCTCTCCTCCCTCTATTCATCATGTCTGAAGTCTCTTCAACTGTGCAGCCTAATTCTCAGTGGCGAACAACTCCACTGCCGCGCCATCTCTTAATCTCCAGCCTAGTCTTCAATCCCTGAACCACTCATTCACGGTCAAGCTTCAATCGAGGGCCAATTATTCAGCGTGGAGATTGCAGTTTATTTCGCTGCTTAATATGTTCAAAGTTTCCGGCATCGCTGACGGTTCCGAAACCATCCCCGCCGCATTTCCTCCCTTCTGTCAATGAAGCGCCGCATCAACCAAACCCTGCCTTCGACGTGTGGCATCAGAAGGACCAGATGGTGTTATCCTGGATCCTCTCTTCTGTCACCAAGGAAATTTTCCCCACACTTGCGGGAGCCATAACTTCGGCAGCTGCGTGGTCTACAATTCATCAAGGATACGGCACCCTTTCCTATGGCCAGCAGACTTAATTGGTGCTTGAACTCCATAACCTTCAGAAAGGAGATCAATCTGATTCTTCCCTTCTTCATAAAGCCAAGGGAATTGCCGATTCCCTCAAGCTTGTTGGTCAACAAATTTCGGTGGCTGAATTCAACGCCATTATTTATTGCAAACTTCGGACTGAATTTAATGGCATTATTAGTGCCTTGCAACAGCGGGATGCACCTCCCTCTTTTCAAGATTTGTTGGGTCAATTGGTGTCTTGTGAAGTTCTCCTTCATGCCCAACAACTGGTTTCTTCCCCGATGGCCTTGCTTGTGCAATCTTTGCCACCAGGCGCGCAGCCACCAGCCTCTCGTGGCGGTCGTTCTCAACGTGGTGGTCGCCGCTCCCCTTTTGGTAGTTGTGGTGGTGGTCGTCGAGGCTACTCTTCTCCGGCTTCCTGTCAAACTTGTCAACTCTGTGGAATTTTGAATCACACCACTGCTACTTGTAACCATCAATTTGACTCTAGTTTTGTCCCTCAGCCACCCGTAGCTTACACTCAGTTTGTGTCTCCATCCCCGAATGCACCAGGGTTGTTGCCTTCTCCTTATCCAGATTTCACTATGACTTCTCCATCTCACATGGTTCAGACTCCCTCTCATTCTACTCCTTGGCATCCGGATACTGGTTCTACAGATCATACGACTCCGGACTTGTCATCACTCAGCATCTCTGATGACTACCATGGTATGGATCATCTTATTCTTGGTAATGGTGCTGCTTTACCTATTAAGCATGTTGGTCAATCTGTTTGCCATCAATTTCCCGTCCTTTATTTTTAAATCGTGTCTTGCATGCTCTTGCTCTTACTAAACCACTCTTATCTGTTTAAAAGTTTGTCAAAGATAATCACTGTTTTTTTGAATTCTATTATGATTCCTATTGTGTGAAGGATCTCTCCACCAAGGAACTGCTCCTCCGGAGTCGGGCTGACAATGGTCTCTACCGCTTGGACTTTCCTGCTCGTGGTTGCTTATCTCCAGCCGCTTATCTTGTTTCTCTAGGTCAATGGCATGCTCGTTTAGGGCACCCTAATAATGTTACTCTTCGTATCTTAGTTAGGCAGTTTCAGCTTCCTTATTCTTCTTTGTCCGCGTCCATTGCTAAATGTGAGGCGTGTTGCTTAGGAAAGTTGCATCGAGTCAGTCTGTCTTCTACATTTCATCGTAGTGCTAAACCTCTTGATTTAATTCATACTGATATTTGGGGACCTGCCCCTCTCTTGTCTTTTAATGGCTATCGCTATTTTGTGCTTTTTGTTGATGATTTCTCGTTACTTACATGGCTCTATCCTATCAAAAATAAAAGTGATGTTCCTCATATTTTCAAGCAGTTTAAAACTTTAGTTGAAAAACAGTT